CTATAAATTAATTTGTCTAGAAACAGTGGAAAGGTTTATAAAAGTTTTCACCAGAGAGTTGCCTTCCTACTTCATTTACATAGCCACTCTGGTGAACAAGTGTAAAACCCTTCTGTGCCAGCTTCATCGGGGTTTTCGGAGATTCTTCAACTGTGATTTTTTTTCGTATATTGGTCGATTGCATTCATATAATGTGCGAAACTTTTGGCGCCATATCGTGTTGCTTTGATATTTAAGTTTAGGCATCTATAACGTTTTAGCCGAAGTCTACCTTCTGGTAGATCTGAGTGATACGGCATTAAACTGGAATACTAAAGGAAGAAATATCTTTATCTAGTTTTGCGCTCCTGTTTTGTAAAAAAGGGGCACCCGTGGTCGCTTTTGCGGGTACATGCATTATTTACACTGTGATGTACGGCTGGCGTCGGCACCCTCTCACCATAAATGAACACATGAATTATTCCGCTGAAGAAGAGCAAGCATCATTACTCAGCATTAACGAATGGTCGAAAATCTCGCAGAAAAGGAGAATCCCATATTTTAGTGACGTAACGAAAACAGACACTTCCGCAAATATAAACTCAGCGGTGTTCGACGTGTTCATGTTCAATGCATAAAAATGTCCACCTCTCACTTCTCAGAACCTTGAGTAAAACAGTTGGTTGGAAATAGTTAATCGAAGGGCTGCGTTCAGGGGGAAAATGCCCATTGGACGTAAACAGGTAAGTACGGTAGCAAAAAAAAAATAGATTTTAAACGCAATCCGGGGGCTCGTAGGATTTCGTTCTCTTTCAAGGAGTCCAGCACGGCCACAGATGCTTCTACGTTAACCGTGATTCCGCGAAGCCTTTACTACGTAATGTCCTCTCCTGCATTTAAAATGCTTCCAGCCTGCTCAACTACTCGGTAGTAGAGCAGGGATTGGGCGATGTATCTGATTCCCTGAAGGTGCTGACGACAGATTTTCACAATGGCCTTAGTATCGTATCGCTCGGTATGCAATATACAGGGTGCCCCAGCTATCTTTCGTCAGAGTTTAAAAATATGCCGGCACACGCAATTACGACGCGACCAAATGCATGTTGCTGGCCGTTGTCTGGAGTGAATCACCCAGACTTTTTTGTGTTATGATCAATTGTTTAATTAGACCATTTTAACTAACTAACTTTTGAAGGAACTTCTGAATGAGCAAGTTGTAGATTGGCTTACAAAACGTCCGATTAGACAGTTTTGAACATTATATTTGTTAATTATTATTGTTTCTCTGCGAACTACAAATTTCTGCAAAATACAAAAAATATACCACGTGTCAAACTTTCTGGCGCGCCTACGTTCCGCGTACGAATGATACGCTTCCTGCACACCAGTTTATGACAGTGCACGGTAAGCAGTCACAGCGGTTATCGCTTTTGTGGCCGATAGCGAAACCTGTTCATCGCGAAGCCACCACCATCGTTGCGTCGCTGTCGAGACAGCACAATCGGGCAAATGGTCGTTCGTACGCGGAACGTTAGGGAGCACTAAAATCATCGTGCGCACTTAGGCGCGAGCGGGCTTGTCACGTGTTTTTTTTTTTTTTTGCATTTCGCAAGCATTTACAGTTAGTAAGAAAACACTAAAAATTGACAGGTATAAAGCTTGAAACTATCTAATCGGACTATCTGCAGACCGATAAACAATTTTCTCATTAAAATGTTGGGCCCATTTTAGTTGCTTAAAAAGTTAGCTAATAAAAGTGGCATATTTAGGCAATTAATCAAAACACAGATAATAGACTGACTCTAGGCAACAGTCAGATACATGCAGTTGATTGCGCCATCATTGCGTGTGTCGGCATATTTTTTAAACTCTAGCTAAAGATGGCTAGGGCACCCTGTATATGATTCACATCAGTGTGCTGACGTTATCCGTGCAGTTAACAGCAAGACACAAAGGGGGAGAGATCGTGCTTGGTGTGCCGTACGGAGTATGTGATTTTCTTCGTACCTTTTTTCTCTCTGTCTGTCTGTCTCTCTTATTTATTTTTTAGCTTGTTGACTGATGATTGCTTTGACAGACACATGAAAAGTCTGAACCTCGAAAGGCCGTAGACAGAGACACGCGGATGTTACTGCGTGATCACGTCGGCTTCTGCTGCCGTGAGTTTCCTAAGTGTTGCGAATTTCTCGCCAAACAGTGCGCGTCTCAACGGCTGGACAAATAGTCTGCCCTGGTCGTCGCCGGCCGACACCACAAAGGACCCGCTCGATTGCGCAGTCAGAATAACACGAGGCAACTCGGCCATCCTGGTTACCTTCAACTAATGCGGCTAGCTGCTGGCTTTCTGTGCCTAACAGCGGCTCGTGCGCTCTGCTGGGCACTTTCATGCAACGTGCGTCAGCTTCTGTGTTGCCGCAGCTGCCGTCCGGTCATCAACGCTCGATGCACAAGTGTTCTAGGCCAGCTGTGCTGGCTAGACCAAGGCTTTCTTGTTTGAGCGTGGAAATTCGCTCTACGTGTGGTGAACAACAGAGCTCAAGTCGTGCGGGTTCTGTTGCACGCTGAGTGCATTAGCATATTCAATTAGAGCTCCTGTGCGCTATCGCTGCAGTCTGGCCAGGACATTAGTCGAGTGCCGGCTCGGGCGAAGCGCGCGCGTCGCTGATTTCGTGCCTGCTGTCACGGCCACTTCCATCCAACGAGATCCTGTGTCTCCCCAGGCGCGTTCTGCCTAAGCGGTCCAGCGGTATTAGAGAGGCGTTTTGTGGCCGCCTTGTTTTCACGTGCGCGCTGTCTTTCTCAAACTAAGCAAGGTTTGATGCTACTGCCCCACTGGATGTAGCTTATATATCAACAACACTGGCATTCCGAGTTGTTTCCTGTGCTGTAGGCGCAATATCTGAACCATAACAGTAAAAAAGTAAACTTTTGTTTATATGCTTTTTTTGTTTCTCTTTGTATACATGAATGAAAAACAAGAAATAAATAAAAGCAGGTAATCAAATTTGGACAGTCTGTGTAAATGGGTAAAGTGATGCATAGAGATACGATCACCATCATCATAATCAGCCCATTTTATTCCCCTGTAGGATGAAGGCCTTTCGCAACGATCTACAGCTTAACCTATGTTGCGCCAGCTATTTCCATTTCATGCGTGCGGATTCCTTAATTTTCTCATACCATCAAAGTCTTTGTCTTCCTAGGCTACGTTTCCTGTTCTTTGACAACATTTCCGCTCCTCTAACTTATCACCGGTGGTGCCCTTCTGTGCACTTATTTCGCTGAAACGGTGGTAAACGTTAAAATAGTCGGCTCTTGCTTTTGTGGCATCGTGGCAGATAAATGTATTGCTATTAAATTTAGCAATTCAACTCGCGCTGAACCACATATTTCAGTTGAAGTTCAACGTTTGAGTGACATTTTTTTTTCAGAAACGTCTTTCTATACGTAGTGCAAGTGACGTGCTTAGAAGTAAACTGTAGACGTAGTCCGAAAATCGTCACATTTATTCACTGCCACATATCCGATAACACTGCTTGTGTGAGTACTTGTATTTAATTCTCTCTCTCTCTCTCTCTCTCTTGCGAGCCCAACGTTCTAATATCTTGCAACTGTTCAATATAAAGATGAATGTTCGCCACAGCATTACACGAAACAAACATTCAGTGACATTTTATTATGGACGTTCCTGTTGAAGAAAATTAACATGGTTTAGCTTCGCAAATGTATGAAAACTGCGTGAAAGCATCACAGTTGGTATAGCAAACTCTTTTTGTTGTGATTTTGACGTTCGTTAGCTGAGTTCATGTTCATCATATTTCACTATAAGGACTTCTTCATTGATGATCTCGTTAGGCATGCATAGCATTTACCATTCATCTGTTTTCATTATTTACTATATTTATTAACCCAAAACAGTGTTGTTACAGGTGCATATATTGTCCCACATACAACCGCTGAAGTGATATACAGACTAAGCATTTCTTTTATAACTGAAGGCCGCAAACGTGGCCTACTTTGCAGCTTTCACAAAACGCTCTACGCATCTGCGAAATTCGGCAGCCTGTAAAAAACCTTTACGTGACAAATTATAGCTTTAACTTTGCAATCACACTTATCATTGAACGGAGAAGATGGAACACAAACTATCGATCCCGACTGCAAATCACTTTGAGAAATATATTCGGAATTTCAAGGATATCTTTTGGTAGTAGCACACATGACAGTGGCAATATGCGTGCACCCTTCAAGTAGCTCTACAGCTAAATGGCCTATTTAAAGAACTATGTGCGCTCTTCGTTAGAGCACGTTCATGATAGGCTACAGTTGACACTAGTGCAAAAACTACCCACTTTATAGCTTTGAAATAGGGAGGCAAAGTTATGCCAATATTTTAATGCATACATTAAATAACTGTAGTTATTGTGCCTTGTTCTGTATTTCGCTACTCACCAGGATGCCACTAAAACAAACAGTAGTACAAATTAGAAACGTTTCGCTTCAAACAGTTTGTTTTGCCACACTAAGGATCACAGTGCAAAGAAGCACGCTTTACAAGAGAAACAAGTCACACGTCGAGTTTTGTTCAGGGATAGGGCGGGAGACAATGCGTACATCGAAGAGCATCATTAGCGCGGCACACTTGTTCACTTGTATATCTGAACGAATTAAATGTATAATTCAAATGACATCCGAGTTACTTGTCTGCCGGCTAGTGTCATCGTCAGCGGCGGCGCCAATTAAGTGTCCGGACGACGCGTCCCGTGGATGGCGCGTCGTCACGGGCTGACGTGTGTCGTGCACGACGTGTGCCCTCACGTGCCACGGCCGCGCAGCCTGCAGCCCGGCCGAGCGGTCGCCGAGGGCAGGCTGCGCCGGCCCCGCACGCGGCCTCGGCGGCAGCTCACTTGTGGCGCGCGCACACAAGCGGCGACGTGGTTTGCCGGCAGCACGTCGCTGGCCGTGTCGTGACACGCCTGCCAGCTGCCGTGACCGGCTTGCCCGTGCACAATTCTACTTACGGCTTTCGGTGCGCTGCGTCTGTGCTCTCCTGTCGTATTTGGGCGGCATGCCTTTCTAGCCTGGCCGTCAGCTTGGTCCGACCACCATCCTCCCCCTGCGCGACCAGAGCTCTGCCCGCGCATGCGCACTGCACGGCTCTTAGGCGCTTCACGGAGCAGCACTGTTGCCGCTACCAGCGCTTCTCCGCGCGCCGCCCCAACCGAAGCGCCGCCGCCCGAGGGAGAGTGGGTGAGGAAGTCTCCCTAGAAAGAGGGAAGAAAAACTGGTGGCTTCGCCGTCTCCCTCCACTTCGGGACACGAAACACACCCTAGGGTGCTTTCGGGCTGCGGGGCAACAGTTGCGCGGGCGTGCGCTTGTCCGTCCAATGTGGGCATTTTTCTGAAAGGGTCCTGCGTTGAGTAATTGCTCAGACCGGGCCCGTCGAAGGCTGCGAAAGGGAACAGGACAATGGGGAAACTTTTCAAAACGCCGATCGCGGCCTTCTCCGGGCCGGCTGAGAGCCCGAGGAGACGCGGCGACACAAAAGAACCATCCTCCACTGTTTATTGCCTCAGATTTTCTTTTTCTTCGCTCCGTTCGCTCTCGTCACTCCGGGACCGACAACGACAAAACGTGGTAGGCGATACAGAGGGAGTACACTCAAATCAAATCCCAGGAAAGGCCTCTGAAGCGCGTCTTTCTTGTTGACGGTAAGTCGGCTGGAAACAGCTAAGCACTGGCCTTTGCAGCAGTAATGGACAGGGATGCTTCCAGATCTGGTCTTAAGACATTTTTTCCTCCAAGATTCATGTACTTTCATCAACTTAACGTTGAGTCGTTGTACCATATTAGGTGTTTTTGACGTTTTTTTACTAAGAATATAATTCGTATTGCACCAATTTTATCTGGGTCACGTTTGCTCCAAGAGCACTTTCACTCAGTTATTTTTTTCTTTCCTCGCCAATCATCTTCGCAACACTCGCTCTAGAAGGAGCCCTCGTTACAACTTAGATGAAAATGTTCACATTGGCGGTATCTACAAGTTTCATTGCGATAAAATCTGTACTTCGCCAAGAGATGATAAATGAAGGTCTCTTGTTTCTACACAAAACGCCGACCAGTTGAACCTTCTTGCGCGTGGATGTGTCCGAAGTCTCTGCCTCAGTAGATATTGTTTTACAAACGGTTAAAGACAATGTCAAGTGGGTGGAATTCGCATGGTCTCGGCACCTAGTGTTACGCTTTTACTGAAGTAGTGAGACCGGCTGGTAAGTACACAGATGCACGCTGTCTGGTTTACCGTGAAGTAACTCAGCACGATGTTTTTTTAAGAAGGAATGGGAAATATCAGGACGCCTTTCTCTCGAATATCATTCGCATACATAGGTTCTTCGAGCGCAGGAGACTCATTCACTCTCTTCGTATGTTTTTTTATACCGAGTCTATTTCCGTCGGCTAAAATAAATCTGCGCGCACTGCGGAAAGCAAACGAAAAGTAGGGGCACATTGACAAAACACTGTGTATGGCAGTAAATCCGGCACATCTCAACCTCGCTTTGGTGTTGAGAATGCTGCGAAACGTTTGCTCATGTCCTAGATACCCAACCCGCTTCGAGGAGTGCAGCAAAGAGACAGACGGACGCGCGCTTCCAATTTGGGACAAGTCCGATAATTGCTTTCTGCGGGGAGCAGCGAATGTGACAGGTATCGCACGCGTGCAGAGTGCGGTAGCCCGTGTAGATTGCCCGGAGCAGTGGCGGGGAATCTCTTTTTCACCTGGCATTCTTCTACCCTTCATACCAAACAACTACCGAAACTGCGACTGTCGACGTTTGATAAATCTTCCTGAAAACGTCACCCCTTGTGTTGCGATGAAAGAAGCTCATCTTCCATAACACCATCTGTTCTCTCTGTATGTGATATTGATTGTGAACACATTGCTCTCCTTTCAGGTCTGGTTCGTTTCCCTAGAGAATTTTATGTAGGCGTGGGGCCCACCTTTCCTTTTATTCAGGAATACAATTTGAACCCTAGGCATGAAGTCTCCAAGCGAACAGTAGGAACCCACCAAAGCAAGTAATTAGTCGTTGTCTTAAAAGGGTATTGTTAACTCTGCCTCACGGCCCCCGTGGTGCTGAATATACTGCAAGGCTACGTCAGCGTTACTGCGCACCAACCTAGATAAATGCACGTACCGTAACAGGCGCTGAATGCCCCTTTGTGTGCGTGTGCTAACATCAAGTACAAACTTGTATTCCCTATCTTTCAGTCATAGATGTAAGCATCTCTGCCTGATAGCCTAGAAGAAACGAGACAAAAAAAAAAGAACGTCTGAATTCATAAGCATGCATCAGGTTAAATGAATGCATTGTTTTGTGGCAAGCAGAGAATCTATTGTGCTTGAAAAGTGCTGTTTTCATGCTGACATTGTCAAACGACTGCTACAGTGAGCATGGGTGGGCCTAGATAGATCTTATACAACTGCGCACTGATCCTAAACCTTGCTGTGTAAACTGTATATACATATACTAAATCGTTTTTTTTTTTCGCCCAACTCGGTCGATTTGAAATTTACTGGTATTTTATATGTTACTGTGCTATTTTTTTATTTTTAAGAGATTGGGACATTTCTTTACAGTATTAGTCACTCGAAAAAAGGCGGGGTTCTGCACATATTTCATGCGCAAAACATGGCATCTAGGGTTTGTTTAGGTAAATATTTTTACAAAAATAATTACGGGGACAACCACAGCGCAATAATGTTACACTTCTTGCGCATTATCACATTCAATAAACTCCTTACCCTACAATCTTTCACGCTGCTTATAATTTGGCCAGCTGCTGGTGACTTCGCTTCTGTCATTATTTTTAGTCACTTTTTATTTTCAATTGCTGAATCCAGCAAATGATATGCGGTGCTACTGTGTGTTTTTCTTTTCACATTACTTTTTATAGCCTCCTCCACCCTCCTAACCCGGAATATTATTTTAATCGAAGACAGCTAAAACAATGCCAGTAAATTATCAGTTTTTTTTCTTCTGTTGTTTATTATGTACTGTACATGCGCTTACTTTGTTTGCAGTTCTTCGTTTGGAACGTACATTCGCGCTATCCGCTGCGTAGCGTGCGCTTCTTGCTCTCAGCGATCGCGCTACTTTCACCAACCTCACCTTTTTAAACACAGCTGTCATACATTCAGTGAACAAGACGCTCCATGGCTTTAATAGTAGCTTTTCCTGCTAAGTAAAGCACAGCTTAAACAGAGGACGATGCGTTCAGGTTCAACTTGAATGAAGGACGACACCTCGCCCCGCCGCGGTGGTCTAGGGGCTAAGGTACTCGGCTGCTGACCCGCAGGTCGCGGGTTCAAATCCCGGCTGCGGCGGCTGCATTTCCGATGGAGGCGGAAATGTTGTAGGCCCGTGTGCTCAGATTTGGGCGCACGTTAAAGAACCCCAGGTGGTCGAAATTTCCGGAGCCCTCCACTACGGCGTCTCTCATAATCATATGGTGGTTTTGGGACGTTAAACCCCACATATCAATCAAGGACGACACCTCACGCGATGGAAATGAAAATCATAGGTGTAACTTCAGGGGACATGAAGACAGCAAAGTAGGTCAGTGAACAAACGAGACTTAAGGATATCATGGTTGAAATCAAGAACAGGGGCCGGGAACGTACCGCGTAGGTACGGGAACCACTTACCATTAATGGCATAACTGACTGCATTCCAAGAGAAGGCGAACGCGTGAGAGGGAGGCAGAAAATTAGGTGGGAAGATGAGATTAAGAAGTTTGCAGGCGTAACGTGGAAGCGCAAACTACAGGATTGGTTTGATTGGCAGAACATGGAAGAGGCATTTGCCTTGCAGTAGGCGTAGTAAAACTGATGATGATGATTGACGATGATGATAAATAGGGCATAATAGTATCTGCCCAAAGCCGTGACGTCCGCAAGCTAATAGCTAAACCACGCCTAATAGCTAAACGTTTCAGCAACTTACGCATTCAAAACACATAGTCGGAACGTATTTTTTTTATGTGCCTTCATGTTTAGGAAGTATCAGTGTGAACGTGCGCTTTGTTAAGCCCGTCCAGCCTAATGTCTAAAATGTGCCACTCCTCCAAGTATGAGAAAAAGGAACGAGTCGAGAGGAAAACCTTGACCGACACAAACACAGGTCACAGGTATTCACCCATGTACTTTCACTGTACGGGTACCAGCTCTGCGAGAATTGTGTAATGCCAGGTATGTACCCACTACACAGGATAACGAGACCTCTCGAATGCTATGTGTGGTCGCATGCAGCGACCATATAAGTATTCACAAAACTTTCATATATCAGCAGCGAGCGTAGATGCGCAGAACAGTGGGCAGAGAAGGCTGTGAACTTACCAGCGAAATATGAAAACTCTGTAATGCCTTCTCACCAGCCAAGTTGTTTTATTTGTTTGATTTGCAATGTGATACGCCAAAAAAACTGCATACACAACTTTCGAGCGCAGCAGTGTACTTTAAGCTACCGTGTACCTGTGTTTTATGTTCTCTTCTATATTTCTGTCTTTTTATCCCTTAATTCCTTTCCCTCGGCGTAGAATAGCAGACCAGAGGCACGTCTTGTTTACCTTACTACCTTTCCCCTTCTCCTTTCTCCTCCTTCTCCTTGCTTTGGATTCCTATTTATTTATTTATTTATTTATTTGTTTATTTGTTTGTTTATTTGTTTGTTTGTTTGTTTGTTTGTTTGTTTGTTTATTTAACTGCCCAACCAAGTAAAATGTAGTGGCTAAGGTGTTCTTTGCCCCGCCGTGGTGGTCTAGTGGTTATGGCCCTCGACTCCTAACCTGAAAATCGCAGGATTGAATCCCGGCTGCGGCGGCTGCATATTTAATAGAGACGAAAAGGTTCGAGGCCAGTGTACTTAGATTTAGATGCACGTTAAAGAACTCCAGGTGGTCGAAATTTCCATAGCCCTCCACTACAGCGCCTTTCATAATCATAACTTTGGTTTCGATACGTTAAACCCCATATACAATTAACAGGTGTTCTTTACATCAGTTCTTCTAAAGCAACCAATAAATGACGTTGCCTAACCTGACATTGCATGACATAGGGGAGTAGAGCAATATCTTCCGAAGTGAACACT